TGCTTTAGAGGAAAATTGACCTTACGTGATGATGACGTCATGAAGAGACAAGTCACGTGACATTAAAGTTGAACTCTTGAAGGCCCTATATCTCCTGATGTACATGACTAATCAGGTTCAAATCTTGTAGATATTTTGAGAAGGGGGTGCTTTAGAGGAATATTGACTTCATGTGATGATGACATCATCAGGAGACAAGTCACGTGACATTAAAAGATGCACTCTTTAAGGCCCTTCATCTCCTGAAGTTCTTGTCTGAGTGGGTTCATACCTTGCATTCATCTTCAAAGGGAGCTCTTCGGACGATGAATGAAGTGATGTGATGATGACGTCATCAGAAGACAAGTCACGTGACATAACAGGTGCACTCCTCAAAGCACTATATCTCGTGAAGTACATATTCGATTGGGTTCAAACCGTGCAGATCTCTTGAAAAGGAAGAGTTTTAGACAAACATTGACCTCATGTGGTAAGGACTTCATCGCGTGACTAGTCACTTGATATTAAAAGTACATTTTTACAAGCCCATATCTTGTGAAGTACATGTCTGATCTGGCTAAAATTTGGTAGATAGATTTAGCAAGTGTTATACATGAGGTGACATTATGTAAAGGGTGCAAACTTTAATTCTTTGTATCGCCTAATGGCCAAAAGGGTGAAATTCAAATGTGGCAGTACATGTATCTCAAATGAAGGAATACCCTTAAGAAAAAAAAAGAAAATGTGGAAAGGCCCTTTGCTCTGTCCTTAAGACAGACAAAACCTCTTCTGACCAAAAGTCCATGTGTTTTGTGCACGTTTCTTCCACCATCGACTTTAGTCCTTTTGCAACTTTGGATCTTCATCAAACTTATATCATCAAAGGACCTTCGTTGAAAGATGTGCATAGAACAATGACGTCAGGATAAGGTCATCATGTGATTTAGTATTGATTTTTCAATGTTTATTTCAGCCCATTGACTTTTTACACGTTTTTGAAGCATCATTTTGGTCACTCAGCTATCCTCAACCTTCAAAGTTACACCAAGGAAAGACTTTGGGGCAGAGATGATACTAAAATAATAACATCATGATGACATCATCAACTGATTTATTGTTAAATTTTAAACATTTAAATATGCCGTTAAGATTTAAAAATCCATTTAAAATCAACCATGGCTTTCCGCAACAGTTTTTACCCCAAGTGCCATAGCATACATTGGACCTTCAATTCATCTTGTGTGGGTCAAATCACGTGACCCTTCCTTCTAATTGAAAGCGGAAGTAGGCTCATCATTGTTTAAAAGTGGTAATACATGTAGGTATAAAGTTTTTTTTTCTATGGAATTAGTCAGTCGGTGTAAGTGCTGGGTTGAAACCTTGTTTATATCTTAGAAAGAAAGTGCTTTATTAAATATTGAGCTCATTTAGTGATGATGTCATCAAACAATGTCATGACATTAAAGGGGCACTATTTGAAATGCTGAATCTCCTGAAATACATGTCCCATTGTGTTCAAAACCCTGCAGATACATGTATATAGAAACGGAAGTGATTTAGATGAATATTGTCCTGATGTGATGATGACATCATGAGGTGAGAAGTCACGTGACATTATAGGGGTACGATTTAATATGCTATATCTTCTGAAGTACATGTATATGTCCAATTGGGTTCAAACCTTGCAGATATCTTGAAAAGGAACCTGTTTAGAGGAATATTTACCTTATGTGAAGATGACCTCATTAAATGACAAATCACGTGACATTAAAGGTGCATCCTTTAAAGTACTATATCTCCTGAAGTACATGTCCTATTGGGTTGAAACTTGGCAGGTGTTTTGAAAGGGAAGTGTTATAGACGAAATTGACCTTATGTGATGATGACGTCATCAGATAATCATGTCACGTGACATGAAGGGGGCACTCTCCCAGGTGCTATGTCTCTTGAAGTGCGGATATAACTGGGTTCCAAACTTAAACCTTTCTGGGCATGATCAAATCATTTCACCAAAAGGTTTATGCTATAGCTTAGTTGGTCAAATTTCAAAAGGCGAAAAAGCCATCTGTTCTGTTGGCAACAGACAGATAAGCTCTAGTCATTTTATTTCTTTTGTACTTAATTGTACTGCCATATGTTTGTCCCTAGTTACCTTTTGGTAAAAATTAAACATTGTTTTATTGTTGGTCTCAGTCACAGATGTTGTCGTCTTGGTCTCGGTTTCGACCTGCAAAAGTCTCAGTCTCCAAGTCCTGGTCTTGGTCTTGAAGGAGTAGGTCTCGGTCTTGGTCTCGGTCTCGGTCTCGTATGCCTTGGTCTCAGTCTTGGTCTCGGACATCAAGGTCTCAGATACAACACTGGAGCACACTGGCCGAAATGTCGAGTTAACACTCACCGATTCTTTTAATCAATTAACGTCGAAACACTGCGGGGGTGGGTTTTTACCAGCAAATTCTTCAACTTTGCGATTGCGCTTTGACCTAACCAAGTACATGTATGACACGTCAACCGCAGAAATGAAAAAAAGAAGAATTCTTAAACGAGTGTACACATCCTCTGTGGAACAAAAAAGAAAGTTACATGTACGTGTGTTTACACGTCATCCAGCATCAAGTGGTTAAGAACCACACCTCGCCCAAAAGAGATTGATTGTGTACCCGCAAACCCATTTCTCATGGTTAGTATTCCTCTTTTCCAATTTTGGACGGGATCATCATCCAGGTAAATGTACTAACCATGCCAACACTCCATGACAATACCTCCAGAACTGTGGGGTCGGACGTCCGCTCCTCTCCCACGAACCCCACAGAAAAAGAGCCTTTTTCGCCATAGGCTAGTATGCATGACATTTAACAGGTCAGGAACAGTGATTCCATTCGAGTTGTATGCCCATACTGTACCTTCATTTCCCCAAAAGTTGTATGTAAGATATCTTACATACCTTTGTTTTGAGTACCAAGAAAGAAAAGGGCCAAAACCATGCCGTTTTAAAAAACGTGCAAATATTTACTGATTATTGTCTGAGAGCTACGCGGTTCACATGTGTACTTGCGAAGACGAACTGCTACCAAATCATTGACTACGGCTGTGATTGATACACAAGACATGGAAATTGGCTACAGCTGGGGGTCACACTGACCAATCACAGGGCTCCTCATAATTTATGCCCAAATTGAAGGAAGACAAGCAACGGCCTTTGGTTACCAGTGCATGTGAGCGCACCGTCGCACAGTGAACGGTTGAGTGGCTTTGTGCATCCAACGGCACTCTCAGACACAAAGGCCATAGTAAGTCAATCTTTGTGAAATCAATCAGAGTGCGTAAAAAAAAAAACCAGAATAGGGGCTTAATTAGGATTCTAATTCAAATTATAAGTTTCAAATCATTCGCTTTCCCCAGTGACAAAGATTAACATAAATTTACATTCTACTGGAATATATCAACTACGTTCAATGCAACTGAACTACACTGTAGTTGCTAAACCACATATCATTGTAATTAGAATGAAGCTAAAACTAGAATTAGTGGGCTGGTCATGAATAAAACAAACAAAAGACATAGTGAAAATCAAACCATTGACATGTGAGAAAATTAATTTGTCTAATGTATCAAATGTACAAACCAGGAATATATTCAACGGATAGCCAGACTAAGAGATATCTAGTTAATTGAAAGCAGATCTATGGATATATTTCTATATGAGCAATCACTGATGCAATGTTAGCATACCGTACAATTTTATCTGTGTAATTCCAATCTTAAATGAAATCATTCCTTTAAATTGTTCTATTTACCTGTAGGTTTTCTTTTCCTTGACTTGTATCATCACACAAGATGAGATGGAATGATTCAAAAATACGAACAAAGAACCTCATTGTTTATTAAGTTGCACATGGACGTAACTCTTCTGCGTGCTGTTACGTAGTAGTCCAGCTGTTATTCAATCCAGCCCTCCGGGACCACAGAAGATGGATCGCTACATGACCAGGTCCCCACCCTCCAAGATCAGGCAACACTTCTGTAAACTCTGCCTTTTCTCCCCAGATGGGGTCTTGACCAGGACGTTTCTAACTGCTCTGTCGTCTCTGGGAAACACCTTGATGATTCGCGCCTAGCTCCACTCGCCACGGGCAAGCTTGTCGTCTGTAACGCAACATCCCCAATGGCTAACTGTTGACCAGGTCTTTGCCATTTTCATCTTGACGTGAGTGTGTGGAGGTATTCCCTTTTGAAGCACCTCCAGAATTGCATGACAAGACCCTGTATGAACTCGAAGTGTTTCCAGTCTCGTTGAACTGACCTTGTGTGGTATCTATCAAAGCTCTCCCAATCATAGGGGTAAGAGGTCTGATATCATTCGGGTCATCAGATGAATATCCGATCGACCTGGAATTAAGAAGACCTTCCACTTCGCTGAAGGCTGTGGTCATTTCATTTCACGTCAGAATTTGGCCTGAAATTGAAACTTTCAAAGCGGTTTTCACTTGCTTAATAAGACTCTCATACAATCCTCCCTGATGAGGACTAAGGGGTGTGATAAACCGCCACTTCAACTTGTGGAGAACTGCGAAGTCTTCCAGCTCTCTCCGTCTCTCTGTGAACAGCTTCTTGAGTTCCTTCTCTGCACATTGAAGGAAGTGCCATTATCAGATATCACGGTTGAAGGCCAACCATGATGCGCTGCAGATGGTCTAATAGCATCAGGGCTCAAAATTGGGCTAATAATCACGGGAGCAAGTACTTGCTCCCTAGACAGCTGAATTTGTCACTTTATGGGAGCAAGTAGCTCCCATACAATATTAAAGACACATGTTCAAGAAAAAAAAGTAAGGACCCTGGTCCTTGCTGTTACTTTTGTTTAAATTAATGACACTGATAACTTACAGCTTAGACTTTGGCAGAGCCTTGATCGAGTTGTTATTTTTGCGGGTTGCACGCGACGTACAACTAGTAGTGAGTGCGCGACCAACTGGAATCTCAAATGTGCTTAGCAACACTACGCAAAAAGTTGGGAACTGGGCCTTTATAACGTGCGCATGCACGCTGACGTAAAAGGGAACTACATGTAAGTGCAGCAATCAACCGTGTCTTAAATGAGAGGATTAGGCTGAGACTTTGTTTCGCTGGTTCCAGCTATTTTGCAGCATGGTTCAAACCACATCTTCAAGCTCTGAGTGGATCCAGCGAAACTGAAGTCTGAGCCGAATCCACTCGTTTGGCTTGAATTTATGCACGAGGGGCCAGTTTCAATCGTGACACTAGCCATGGGTATGCTTTTGTGTGTACGTTCACGATGTGTGTGCATCCATCGCATGCGAGACTGTGGCATGCGCTCAGTGACATAAACAATTGTACCATGCTATGGTTCCGTGACAAGCTTGATCCGAACTGAAGTAAAAAAGTTCAGGTATTTTTTATGACAAAACAAACGGTAATGGGCGTAAGTACTTGCGCCTGTAATTATGATTTACGGGCACATGTCTGAAGCAAACGGGTGCATTTTAGCTACATGTACCTGTGCCCGTTAAATTTCGAACCCTGCCTATTGAATGCAGAAACAAACTCACACACACATATCTATTTTACATACAACATTCCATACCTTGTGTGGACATTCCTTTGTTTTTGTGCAGTCAAGAAACCTCCCTCAAAATACTAATTTTTCTTGAACTGGGAACACGATTTTCTGGTGGATTTTGTAAATGGTTTCCTTTTACATTATTAGATAACCCTAACCCCAAAATACCGCTAAACCCCATTTTCAGAGAGGGGAAAATGTCCTGTGGCCATGGGTCTACAGCAGGTTTTCTTTGTTCACAAATCCACACTAGGTACATGTACCCAGTATGTAGATGCACGTTTTCGATGTGAGCAAAAAATTAAGGTGGATTGTGAAGAATTTTTTGGGATTTTTCAACAACTAAAATGTATTCAATATCACTCAAAAAAGGAGAAACAATAAATAGCCATAAATACTCTGATCCAAGATTCTGCTCGAATGTAATACCTACTACAGGTTTACATTTACATGTACATGTATATCATGAACATTGCCTGTACCTGGTATATAGTGTCAGGTGATGTCACCCTCTCCCTTTTCAAAGTTCCATGGTGGGACAAGTAATCCTACCCCCTTCCCGCAAATCCCCATTCTGCCACCCCTCCACCAATTTGTGGCACAGTTTTTTGCCACTTTTTTGTTTTGTGGGTCTCCTCTATTTCTTTTAGCTTGAGATTTGACTTCAAGCAGAATCATTCCTGGTGACTGAAACTCTTTAGGAGGAATATGGGATTGCACAGAAATGTTATTTTAGTAGCATGAGTATTTTAAAAACAAATAAATATACAATGTGTGTAAGATTTCTGTTGTTTTGTCCCTTTTTCGTGCATTATTTTCAGTTCTGACCCAAAGCAGACATCATTTGTTGGTAGTAACTTCTTGACTCTTCAAGACTTCAACAAGCATGACATTGAACAGCTCCTGTGGACAGCAGCTGACCTGAAAGAACGTATCAAAAACAATGGAGAGATTTACCAGCCATTGATCGGTAAAGCTGCTGCATTGATCTTTGAGAAGAGGAGTACCAGGACACGTCTGTCATCAGAAACTGGTATGTGGTTTAGGAAAGCAGGTTCTTCTGTCTTGAGTGTAAAATTGAAGTCTTTAAAATAAAGGAGGATGTTGGTTAGTGGTAAGAGTTGAATCTAATTTTTGCAGTCTGGTCTTGACTGTTTAAGAGTTTCAATTTATGAAACTGAGTATCCAAAAAATGGTAGGAGCTATCACTACACGGGACAAAGATGGTTTTGCTCAACCCAGTCTTAGACTCATTCTTTGGAATAACTTTCCTGTCAGAGGTGATTCGCCCTAACCATAGTAGGCCTGGACTGACTTCCAGAGATTCTTGTGTATGATTTGAATTTTGTGAAGAAAGTAATTTTTACAACTACAAGACTTTCAATGAAAAGAGGAGCATCAAAGTTCTACATTTCATATGTGGTTTGTAATTGGATCAAGATCAGAGAACATGTGAACCCCAGTAATTTTCGTTGACAATTTCATTAGGAACTTGTTAAGATGTCATGGCAATTGCTGCACAGCCTCAAACTAGGTTGGCATGACATGACATGGTGACCATTGCTTCAGTGAGGTCAAATTGTATGGAAGTGATGCAGTGAGAAAAGTAGCACATATCATGGAAAAATGACAGGTGGCCATGATCAGCATTTATAATGTCCAACTTTGTGACTGACTGTGATTGCAGTATCTTGTCTTAAAATAAAAAGTTGGCATTTTCGGCAGAAAATAATACTATGCATGTTCACGTGTGGCATGTTGCATGTTCACGTGTGGCACTATTTTATTTGGGAAACTGGGCCTGGCAAACAAAAAATGTGATATTCAATCGGTGCAAAATTCAGAAACTGGATTTGGAATCAACCATTTTGTCCCACCATTTACATCAAGAAGGGTATCAATCCCCACTCTTATTTCAAATCCCACCGACAGAAATGAAAACAGAACAGAAATACTGAGTTGGCTTTCATTATCAGTACCATATGCATTTCATCTTTAAAGTAATTTCCAACAATTTGTGTAGGTTTTGCAGCATTGGGTGGCCATCCAGCTTTCTTGACCACAAATGATATTCATCTTGGAGTTAATGAATCCTTGCCAGACACAGCGAAGTAAGTGCATCGCTAAAGCTACTGTAGGATGATCTCACTCCTGTAGGAGTACATGTACATGTAAACATGATCTGGAATTGCGCATAATGCACATTTACAAGGACAGATTACACTGTTACCTGTAAGTATTTACTCAAGTTTGTGTACGATTCTTATTTCCTGTTGGCTTTGTACAAACATACACAATGTCTGGCAAAGTTTTAGAGGTGAACTACTTGTTTGTTAATTTTGTTGATAAAGATACATGTGTTTACATGAAATATATCTTAATATTTGCTCTGCACCCGTTTCCACAAAAAGCTATGACGCGTCCTACATGTACATCAAGTTGTGACATGTAACACATCACAACTCGCGATGCATCGTGCGATCTATTTCACGAAACTTGCGATGCGTTCAGCACATTGTAAGTTCCTTGACAACAGTTTCATAAGCGTTGCAAGTTACAACTTATCTTTGGATCATTGTTATTACACATAAACATGTTGCAGGTTTACAAATGGCACTTAAAATTTAAATACTCTTTGCAGATCGTGAAGAGTGACTTTTTAGGGATAGGCACGACCCTTTGAATAACTTAAACAATGGCAAGTTTTTCCAGTGCTACCGGTTCACCCGTGAAGGGATTAACAAGATAGTAGAATGTGTTGGAAACCAAATTTGGCACAATACTTGGGTAAATCAACAAATTTCTGCAAACTTATGCATACATGTACATGTACACTGTAAGTGATAATAGCCCGAGCCCTATATGAAAAATGTGCATGAAAAAATTGATGGGAACCAAGGGCAGATCTAAAACTAATTGGGGGAGGGGACAAACACATTTTGTGGGGGTGCTTGGAATTTATGCAACCATTCATGGCCTTTCTTAAGGGTTTAGGCTACAGTTTGAGGCTTTACATGTACAGTACTTGTTTTTTATAGAAGAGATAATTTACATGTATATAGACAAAACAAAAAATTTGCTCTTTTTGGTGAGGCATATAACCCCCATTTACCCTCCATGGATCTTCTCTTGATGGAAACTGCTTTGGGGGATTTTCAAATGATTGCATTAGGAAATATACATACCTGTCACTAAGATTTTTCGAGAGAGGAGGGGGCAAAGCCTTTATTGCAGGGGAGGGGTATGGGGGAAGAAAGCACTCAGACATAAACCATTAACAGTGGAAAGGATCAACCTGCATTCACTCTAGACTGGACATGATAGAATTTATTAAAATATTTGTACAAAACATTTCATTTTTTAAAATTTATTCAGTATTAATGACAAATGTATTTATATTGAATCCTGTAGTTGTTGGAAATGATATGTTGGCGATAGAAGTTTACTTAATTTGCAGACAAAGAGAAATGGAGAAAGAAAATTGAATGAGATGTTGGTCCACTTCTGTCATCAGTTTCATCAAATCATTAGTTCTTATGACATTTTCATTTACTGCGTAACAGTGCAATCTCTCCACGTATGCAACCCCTTGCAGTGCTTTGCTTCTGTGCTACAGGTCCTTCTACACAGTCTACAGCGACGTCCATGACGTGAGTGTCCTGTCAGTCTGCCGAATAGTGCATCCTGTGGCACGGGCACTGAGACTCCTCTAGGGACCAACCAGCACAATCCAACATTTTCCATAATGAGAATACAGATGAACACCAGACAGATTAATCAGTCAGGCTCAAGATGAATCTCAACCTCAGACTAAACACGCTAAAAGTCATAAACTACTGAAAAATGCACATGTACATGTATCATACAGTGATGTCTACACAGACTCGGACTATGGACTATGGAACGCCAAAGAGGCAAAAACTTGGAGGCAACACATCGATCGTTCTTCAACATCGATCAATCGTTCCCCTACACCGATCAATCGTTCCCCTACATCAATCGATTGTTCTTCTGCATCGATCGACCGTTCTTCTACATCGATCAATCGTTCCCCTACACCGATCAATCGTTCCCCTACACCGATCAATCGTTCCCCTACATCGATCGATCGTTCCCCTACATCGATCGATCATTCTTCTGCATCAATTGATCGTTCTTCTACATCAATTGATCGTTCCCTACATCGATTGATCGTTCCCTACATCAATCGATCGTTCCCCTAGATCGATCGATCGTTCTTCTGCATCAATTGATCGTTCTTCTACATCGATTGATCGTTCCCTACATCGATCGATCGTTCCCTACATCGATCGATCGTTCCCCTACATCGATCGATCGTTCTTCTGCATCAATTGATCGTTCTTCTACATTGATTGATCGTTCCCTACATCGATCGATCGTTCCCCTACATCGATCGATCGTTCCCCTACATCGATCGATCGTTCCCCTACACTGATCGATCGTTCTTCTGCATCAATTGATCGTTCTTCTACATCGATTGATCATTCCCTACATCGATCGATCGTTCCTTACATCAATCGATCGTTCCCCTACATCGATCGATCGTTCTTCTGCATCAGTTGATCGTTCTTCTACATCGATTGATCGTTCCCTACATCGATCAATCGTTCCCTACATCGATCGATCGTTCCCCTACATCGATCGATCGTTCTTCTGCATCAATTGATCGTTCTTCTACATCGATTGATCGTTCCCTACATCAATCGATCGTTCCCGTTTCTCTTTTGATCGATTTAGAAAGAGCGATGAAAAAAGAGCAATGAAAAAAGACCGATGATGAAAGACCGATGAAGAAAGACCGCTGAAGCTACATCGATGCCAACGTTACATAACCTCTTCCAGCACCAAATAACACGTGTTCCCTGTAACCATAGCCCATGTACCAGCACACAAGGCCACCCATGTTCAGTACCCGTAAGTCTGGTCCCGAGCCAATTGAATTGTCAGATGGGTGTTTATATCTAGTTTCCTTGTCATGAAACTACTGAGAATAGTTTTTATTTTCCCCTGGATGAGATGCCAGTTTATTATGGATCGCTCCCTAGCCACTGTGGGCACCCATTCTTACTCCTAATGACTCAAGTTTTATTTTTCACACTAATAGCATTCCAGCGGAACTATTCTGTCAGAATGCTACTCAAAAGTCAACCCTCATGAAGCTCAGTGCCAAAGGAAAGGAAACTATAATTATAGAGTTTTTAGGAATCCCAAATACCTCAAAATCATACATGCATAGTGAAATTTGTTAAACAAATAATGGGAATTGGTGTATTAAGTTTGATAATATTATTGTACATAGTCTAAATTATTACCAACATGTAGGTAAAAAAGAAGCATATGCTTCTGGCTTTCCCTATTTACATGAACAATGGTTCAGACTGGACAAGAAACATAAGACAGGAGACATGAGACAACACAGGATACACTGGCAGGATAGACAACAGTTAAAGACAGATGTGCTAGATGTTGAGACCAGACCTTTAAAGAATGGAAGTACATGTAGATTGGCATGATTAAATGATCTGATTTTCATTATTCAAACTAATAAGGCAGGTTTGGAAATAATAAGTGCTAAATCTGCTTGGGTAACAGGAGTGAAAAATAAAGAATGTGCACATCTTTCATCAAGAAAGTGTTCAAATGAACTGCTAGATTGAGGAAGTTCACTTGCTAGAAATGTTAATGAAATAATCATTGAAAGCGGTAGCAATATCAATGTAAAAATCAATTTTAGCATCATTTTGCGTGTAGTGGGATGTTTAACATTCGTTAACGAACGAATTAATAATCTCCCATGCATGTGCCTTTAACATTATGTCTGTCTTTATTAAATTGTTCATCTAAGTAATTTTCTTTGCCATTCTTGTAACACGTAAATTTTTTTAAAACTTTATGTTTGCGGATTTATATGAACTATAGGATTCTGAAGATATTTTTATGCAGATTTTTTACTCTGATTGAGTTATAGATTCCTTCCATTATCCAAGGTGGTTTTGACTTATTAATATGACTTCGGAGCTCACAATGTGGACGAGCTCACAATGTGGACAATTTTTGTCATACACAATTTAAGAAATTCTCGTAGGCCTCATCGACATCTGGCGCAAATTCTTCTTAATCTTAGTTAATGCTTACCGAGTACCAAAGAAATGTTCACGTTTTTCTCTTTTTTTCATTTGTAATAATAACAGGTTACAAAACTTCTGAAGTTTCTTTGTATGTTCATTTTAATCCTCTCTTACTCACTCATCGGTCAAATGATGATGTCCAGAGATTGTATAGGCGGTTGTAGTCCAAATGCTACGAATTAATCTTTTGTTTTCTCTAAACGATCGATGACTTGCCTCCAAGTTTTTGCCTCTTTGGCGATCCCCGTCAAAATTCCCAATCTAAACATTGTTTCACCCAGAGCCAAGATACTAAACGCCAACCAACTCTAGTTTTCATCAACTCCCCAGATGTCAAACTAGCTAAGGTTAACCTGATCAAAATAACCAAAGCTCTAAATAATTTCATACATGCAAGTGTTTCCAAGAATAACCAAGGGGGCATTACTGTCAGATGCCATACTTCAGCACAGGCAAGAATACTAAAAGCCATGTCTCAATTAGATCAATGGGCCATAACCACTGAATACGCAAAATCAGAAACACAAAGTAAGGGAGTTGTTACTGGAATACCCTCTAATATGGACAAAAAAGAAATTCTGGAGGCCTGCAAGAAAAATGGAGTCTTGGAGGTTAAACGCCTGATGCGTAGAAAGATGGCCTCTGTGTCAGTCTAACTTTCAACACACCCACCTTTCCTCGTACTTTCCAACGGGGCTATGAAAACTTCCAGGTTAAAACCTTCAGCCCACCTGTAATCCGATGCTTCAATTGCCAACAACTTGGCCATGTCGCTAGTAATTGGCGTAGTTCAACTAGATGTGTGCCAACAAAAAGACCAGGTCAAGTGCTGCAGATGTGGGGCGTAACACTCATCAGCTTACATGTGGTGCAACACTATCAAACAAGAAATGCGAATGCAAAATATCAGAGGTTCATACAACATATCATACGCTGACGCAGCAAGAGCCATCAGAACAAACATCTCAATAAGTCCCAATGTAGCTACCCAACCATCAACATCTGAAGTGCAACCAAGAGGGACTCCTGAGAAGAAATTAACTGCCAACTCCACAAAAACAAAGATTAAAAACAGTACTTCTAAATAATCCCAAACCACACCACCTGCCAAACAGTGGAAAAATGCCACTACCCAAACTGAACAAATGACATCCACACAAACGGACCCTCACATCAGTACCTCTGCAGTGATCTAAACATCTTAGAGCTACTCACTGGAGTAATGCAAATCTGGGACACTATCAAAGGCAAAGATGAAAGAACAGCTACCGCTAAATCTCAAATTGATCACCGCCACCCCACCCCTGGACCCAAGGAATCTCGAAAGCATAGAGAAAAAAACCATGGAAGACGTAGAACTACATTGAAGTCACCAACCAGTGCAGTGAAACAGATACGCTGAAATCGCACCAAGTTAAGACAGGAACATAAACTACCACCACCCAGCAAAGTGCAAAGTAATCTCCAAAAATAAATCCAAATAAATCAACATGAATATTTATATTCTTATGACAGGATTATTTATTTTACATTAAGATGCACAACCCCTCACAGCCCATCAAAAGGATTTAAAGAAGCCATTTATTCTTACTCTACAAAATGAGATATTATTTTCGTCCAAGAAATTAATACATGGCTGAATGAAGACAAGAATTTAGATTACCTGGCTATGACATCCACCAAAACAACACTAACAAGAAATGGGTGAAATCTATGATAACTACAATAACAAAATCAGCATAAAAGTCAAAAAGTGGGGCAAATGGTGTGGAGTGCAATTTGTACATGTACACATACATGTACATCAACATTAATTAAACAAAATTTATGCAGCAAAAAAACTCAAAAAAATTTATTCAAGTTTTAATTTTGTTCCAGTATGTGCCTCTGTCTGCAGTTTCCTCTCTGAGCATACCCAACTAAGCTTTACAGTCATTTGTCAACAAGTTCAAGAGTTTTCTGTGGGGTTCCTTTAAACACCACTTTGGGTCCCTTTCTGTTTTTGATTTTGGTTGATGATGTATCAGCTGGAAACTGGAGACGTCGGAAGTATGCAGACTTAAATTACTTGTGACTCAGACTCGAGTCTGACTCAAGTCATATGTTGAGTGACTCTGAATTGAGAGATGTGACTCGGACTGAAATACAAGTCTTAAAGTGTGTTGATGTACATGTAAGTTTAGAGTACATGTAAGTAATGAAGTGTGGCCAATCATCTCACAAGTAAAAATATCTTGATGACTTGTCAAGTTGGTGTTACTACAACTACTGATGTGTGCTACCAAAACCATCTGTATGTATTTCAAGATGTATCTTGAAATCTGTATGTAAATGTCAAACCATGACAGTACGTTTTTATGCAAGGTACTCCTAGGACCTTTAAAGTTGAAGCTACTGGTACAGCACTGAATTCTCAGACCTTCATGAAGTCATTTGTTATTACTATGCAAACTAACTTTAAATGGGACATGCACATGTAACTCAGGGACTGAAGGGATAGAACAAATATTAAAAGGTAGTTCATTCCAAAGATGGGGACCTACGTTTGAAAAAAATTGACTTCCTGTTCATGTATACTTTCCCAACATTGTTTTGTTATATACCAGAGTTCTTTCTGGATTTGTGGATGTCATCCTTGCTAGAGTCTATTGCCATGGTGATCTCATTACTTTGGCACATGAGGCTTCCATACCAATAGTCAACGGCCTGTCTGAAATCTATCATCCTCTCCAGTCATTAGCTGACATGCTGACATTGCAGGTAATGACGTACATGTATTGTCACTCTGGTACATGTAAATAGCTGACATGCTGATACTGTAGGGTTTAATTTTTATAAATTTTCATTTTGTCTGTTTTCTTCAACTTCTCATCTTTCAAAATGTATTGTAACTTTTACCTTGATCTCCATCTTTATCTTTGCTGTGTCTACATATAATGAAGGAGCATTATGGTTCACTTTCTGGTCTAACTCTTGCTTGGGTTGGTGATGGTAACAACATCATTCATTCCATCATGATGGCAGCACCTAAACTTGGAATCAACCTCAAGATTGCTACACCTAAGGTTAGTTTATCATTTCCGTTTTGCAATTTCATTTGATTTGTCTGTTTAATATCTTGAACTGAATTGTCTCCTTTAAATTAGTCTTGGCTCCAAGACATTCCAGCAGTTTATTCCATGACACAAAGTAATCACCAAGCAAATCGCCTTCACAGCCGTCCATTAAGTACATCCGCTTGAAGGGGGGGAGGGTTGGTGGCATTGTGTACACCATGCATGGGGGGAAATGAAGATTCAAGCCAGTGTGTGCTGTATGCAAACCGAAAAATTGCCTTTAATGAATCTTCACTATATCAATACATTTTCTCATACAAATAAACATGAGGTGCAAAGTAACTACGTACATAAGAGAGAAAAAAGGTACCCAGATCATTGGCTTCGCAGCTTTGCGCAAAAGGAATTGTTTTTGTTTTCTGTTTTTGGCTATTTCTTATATTCGAAAAAGGCATTACTTCTGTTTTTTTCTTTTTAGCTTTTCCACAAGTTGCAGAAAAGGTATTCTTTTTGTCAAGGTTTTTTTACTTTTCCGCACAATCCTTTTCTTCTGATTTTTTGGCTTTTTTGCAATTTTGCGAAAAAGGCATTGCTTCTCTTCTGTTTTTTCTTTGTCTTCTGTGCAAAACCCATTCACTTTTGGCAATTTTTTTTTCTGTACACGACTTTACTGCTTTTGCATATTTGGATTTTCATCAAACTTGTACCTTTGAAGGACTGTTATGCATAGATGGTCCTCGAAATATGAGGTCATGATGATGTCATCAAACGATTCATTGATTTTCAATATTTCTTTCAGCTGATTGACTTTGTATACGTTTTCAAGGCAACATTTTGGTTATTTAAATGTCATCAAAGTTACACCAAGGAAAAACCTGGATGCAAAGATAATATTCAAATACTTATATCATGGTGATGTCATCAAGTGATTTATTATTAAATTCGAATATGTAAATATTGCGTTAATTATTTCAAATTCCATATTAAATCTACTGTCTCTTCCGGCAACATTTTGTTTGTGGCAAGTGCCAAGGTAAAATTCGGTCTTCATGTTATCTTATGTGGGTCAAATCATGTGACCCTTCCTTCCGTTCGAAAACTGGAAGTGGGCTTATTATTTAAAAGTAGTATTAGGTATCAACTTGCTTTCAATGGTGTTAGTTGGTGGGGTAGAGTATTCTTCAAATCATCTACTGATGACGTCACATAATTATCGAGCGCAATCTAGCAACAGGTTAAAAATTCTAAAAAGTGAAGTTTATATGGACATCTGTGGCGAAGTTTGTCCAAATCGACTGAAAATTGATGTAGAAGATGATGTTTACCTACTTAACGTGTGAAATTTGGGGCCGATGATGTCATCAGAACGGAAGTTATGATATATTCCTTTTTGTCTTGAAAATTCGGTATAAAATCAATCGTAACAGATTTAAGCATTATCTGCATAAGGTTTTTAGCCCATTGATTTTTTACACGTTTTCAAGGCTCTATTTTAGTCTTTTTTGCAATCTTCAATCATCATCAAACGTATACCCAGTTTTTCAAAACTAGGGATGTCATATTCATGTCATCATGTGATTTTCAATATAATTTTGAATCTTTAATTTGCCCATGACTTTCCTTAGCTGTCTTCAGTCCGTATTAAAATTATACCAAGCACAGACACTCAGGTAAAGACTCTATCAAAAAAATGGCATCATGATGACGTCATTTGGAATTTTGAATCTTTATTTTTTCCTGTAGACTTTGTACACAGATTTGAACGTGTAGTTTCTTCTGCTGGCGACCTTTTTATCCGGATCAAAGTTATACCAAAACAGATACTCAAGAACAGATCCTGGCAAATTAATGATGTTGTGATTACGTCATCATGTGGCTAGTCATGTGACATTAAAGGTGTATCACTTACATGTAGTGTTACAGACAAAAATGTACATGATGTTATAATGACGTCAGATGACTAGTGACTTGACACTAAAGGTGCATCTCTTGAAGTGCTATATCCCAATTAGATTGAAACCTTGCAGATATCTAGATATCAAGTAATCAGCAAACTAGTCGCGTGACATTAGATGTGCATCACTTAAAGCCAGACTCTCCTGAAGTACATATTCGACAGGGTTGAAACCTTGCAGCACGTGAACAGGGAAGACTTCTTTTTAAGTTTATTAACTTGAGTGTCTTTGACAGTTTATTGTTTGAAAAGCACTCTGTTTTGTCCCTGAGACAAATGCACAGAGCTCTAGATTTTTTTGTTCAACAACATCTTTTTTCAAGGTGTCGAGTAAATATTTTCCACTTCTGTTAATAAAGAAATTCTGATGTAAAAACCTGTTATTATATATACTTTTGTCATTTATTTCAAAATTTTAAAGCGACGTGCGAATAACAGTACTACATGTACTGTACCGGTAGATGTACAATGTACTGTGACATTCAATGATGCTTAAGCAAGGTATCCTGAAGTGACAAGATATGTGGAATGTATATAGCGTATGGGGGAGGGGGTTGGAGCAACTGCATACTCAATGCTACAGGGGAAGGGAGGTCTGAAAAGTCAGCATTTTATGCGTACATACTTTATGGATGACAGTGGTCTTGGATATTGTTTGATCTTGGACAGCATCACACTGTTAATCATGGTAGGGTATGCATTATTCACAGCAGGTGATTGATGGTTAGCAGAAGTTATGAGTGACGTTCATGCTTCACTTTCACGAACGACATTTTCAAATCGAAACATCAGCCAACATCTTGTTGAACGTAGTTTTTTGGACACTCAGAGCTAAGCGCTCCCAAAATATCCTTCTGTAGTCTGGGGAAGCAGCCAAGAATTTGCCCAGATAATCAAGAAATTTGAGCCATTTTCAACATTTTTGCCATGTTACATGCAGTGTGGTCATGATGTTTGATGTCTCTGTTCACTTTAGCACTCTGAGTTTGGCCCAATTCTCCCCCATGCTGGAAATATGCAGGAGGAATGCTCAACAAATAGCTGAATATGGGTAGTTGTTACAAAATCAATCTATTGGTACGTCTTAAAGGCAATGTACAACCACCTAAACCTAAATTTTTGGACTTAGAGATCAGGACACCATTTTTGTTTCACTTCTCAGTTGAGTGACGTCATAAACTGATATGAATGATCCAGTCATTAAGGCTCAAACGATGCTGTTGATTGGCTCCCTCAGAAATTCAAAGGAGAAAACAATGAAAAACATAAGCACTGCTGAACAAAATAACCAAGACCTAAATATATGAAGTGCTATCTGTAGCTTGAATTAATCCATTTCGGCTAATACGAGGAATGCAAAAATCTTGGGACTATAAGACTACCTTTGAATTTGAAAACTAACTTTATTAGAAAGATGCATTGTCGGTTTTAATAGATAGTAGGATTCAAGGAACAGCACATTTGATTTTACAGACAAGAGAGTGTGTTGTAATCCGTTTCCACCAGAAGGGTTGTTCTGCAAATCTCTCTTGCTCTGTAATAGAGGTTATTCACATGGTTTTTTCACACAGTACGACTTCTTAAGTTACACGTTTATCATGTGTTTGATATGACTTTTGTTCAACAGGGCTATGAAATCTTTCCAGAAGTCATGGAGGATGCTGTCAGGTTTGCCAAAGGGGTAAGATGATGGGCTTTAGTAATCACTAGATCCCTTTTTCAAAATGTCGTCGTTAATTCAATCAGTAGGGAATGAGTTGAGTTGATAGTCTACCTTAACACCACTCTAAGCCAGAAAATTACATACGTGTATTTGTCCCAAAAGTTAAACATTGAATTTGCTGCAAGTTGATCTATTTTATTTATAAACATTACAAAATAAAAATAGGAAGGCAGTTCTTCATACTCCTAAGCATTGGATTGCCATTTATATATCAAAATATTTTTGCTTTTTCCAAGTAAGCTGCTTCTTAATACATAAGTGTGCCTGATACTCAAGATTTTAAGAGACACATATGGCTCTATGTCTTCACTTTTGTATAAATAACATCATTATGCCCTTTGCTATTTCTTGGAAGGTTTTTGTTTCTTTTTTACAATTACAAAGTTCTTCAGTTGTCATTTGGGTGAAGTGCACTAATATTATCTAGCAGGTCTGAACTGTTTTAATGGCCAGTGGTTACTTTCATTCAGCCAGTGAATAAACAAACCTCTTGATTGCAGAATCAATTAACATATACATGTACATTGTGTGTAAGTGGTACCGGCAGGTAATATATTCAATAGCTTTTTGTTTTAATGCGTAGGCTAGCTTAATTAGCAAAGTTTTTAAAGAGGTCTTAATCATTTGGTCTCCTACGGACTGAGGGGGCACATGGTACCCCAGTCACAATTGCCATGCTAGATAAAATTTTCAAAAAAAAGAAAAGAAATACAGGTTTGATAGTATTTTACGATTTTTTTTGCCAATTTTAGTTAAAAATTGTATTTTTTTTTCATTATATATTTAAATGCTTTCAGCTATTGCATAAATAGTTTTAAGGTAAGAAAGGCAGCATATTTTCATGCAAGAGTTTTTTAAATGATCTGTAAAAAAACATGTATGAGACAACTAAACATGGCAAATGGCAGCCATATTGAATTCTTCTATATCATACATGCATCTAAAGGAAGACTATTTTTCTCATGTGATGTGTTCCATGCACATTGCACATAAATGAATTTACTTTACCAACCCGCAAAAGAAAAAACTGGTCCTTCTTTGGTGGAGGTCTTTTCAAGCAGCTACATACACGTAGACCTACCTTTCATCACATACTAATCCAATGAGATGTTATAACTTTGGTTGCACTGTACTCACACCATAGAGCAAGGACACAGACACATACTACAGCTTGACACGCTCATGCATTTAGCAAATCACAACACCGGGGTCGAAGAGGCAAGTAACATACTAGTACTACCTGTCTGCTAATTTCATTTAACGGTCTTTTATAGCCGAACCAAGTAATCTTTAGGCACTACTCTACGTTGACAGGTGACCTTCATTGACGCCCAAGTATTTCAGCCAAGCCAGCAGCCTTGTAAACAGAGCCCAGATTGTGCGGTGTTGTATAACTGTCTTTTGTTCACGAACCTGGCTTAGTACACTGCTGACCTCTTTTCAATAGGGGCCAGATTAGCATGCAGCGGTGCTGTGTGGCTCATCACTGTGGTGGTGGAGCGCTTTTGTCCCTGGTGGTAATCCGCTCGCTCTCAATGCCCCAAACCCTGGTATACGGTTTCAAAACAAGGCTGGATTATCACCACTTTTGAGAGTGAAAAATGTTGATAATGCCCAGCAGCCTGCTCTTTTGTTTTCGGAGTACGGTCTTTTGTTACAGGGCCCTGTTTCCTTTGTCCGAGTTCGGAGACCCAGGCTATGCTTATAAACCATACGTCTCCGATTCCGGAGTCCCCGGCAGGAAGTGGTTAAATTAATAATACCGTATAATCTTGGCCCCAGGTATTGAAAAGATAAACATGGTATTTAGTGGTGAAACAAGATATTATTTTCCTGAGCCGCCACACCCAAACATTCCTGAAATCAGTCAACCTTACCAGAATGATGGGCTGAGTGCCAGTTGAGTTGTTATTGGTAGATGTAGCCACGTATGGATTGATTTTAATAATGAATATTTATGAAGGGTAGTACCCAAAACATTCTGAGTTCTTTGGAATAAGGCATGGCAGTGCTAGAATTTTCCCTTTGGGTTTAAAAAGAAAAGATATGGGTTGGTGTGATCAGTTCATTGCTGGATTCCGAGGAGAGGGCAGCGGCCAGCCTCAATGACTTGTAGTCGTGAGCCGAGTTAGTCTTGAGATGAGTGACTTGTAGTTATGGAAGTAGAATAAACAAACATGATTGGGGCCTCAAGGCAAGAATTTGGTAACTGGAACATCAATAACCTTTAGTGTTGAAAAGCACAACTGATTTAGCAAGATACGCTAAACCAAACCACGGCGAACATGAGCCAAACATAAATTATATGAAATGCATGTATTGTATGAAATTGCACAGAAACAATTTAAGACAAGGTTAAAAGGTTATACAGGATTAGATTTTTTTCTTAAGCACAAAACTGCAAGGGATATAAATATATACAAAAGTGCACATTGTCAAAACTTGAGGATTAAAGGTCATAATGCAACAGAGTAATCATGAACTTAGTTGATTAACTTGAATTACAAATCAGGTGATGAAGATTCTAATAAATTCATCTGTGTGACTTGCTAAACCCTTTGATTTCCCCAGAGCATCCCCACCCCCATTTGTACCCTCCCCATTTCCCTTCAAGGTACAGAAAAAAATACAGAGGGCGTCTAGGGAAGATGACCCCAGGTGGAAAACTGCATCTGCTTAACAGAATGCTTGTTAGTGCTTGACAAGGGCATGGGTTGACAGGACAAAGTTCTCTGTTGAGCCACCAATGCAGATGAGGTGGCCCTCTGTGGAATGGAGACAAGAAATGGGTCCCTGCTAAGTTTAATAGCCAAGAGTGTAATGTACAAGGGGATGTGTGGGACAGCATTAGACCCCTTGAAGTGGGAAATTGAGGACTTCCCTGCACGGCAGCATAATGAACAAAAAGAAACGAGCTGGGAAAATTGCAAGTTCGTCCAGGTGAAGGCCTTTGTGGGAGTGTACTGCATGCCAGGCAGTGATGTGCCCAAAGGAACACGTCGACCAAGGTGACTTTAGCAAACCACAAGAATATATGGCTGACTGTACCACAAACTCTCAGATGGAGGAAAAGAGGCATTTTGAAAGTGCAACCAGTGGCATCAAATAGCAACTGGAATATAAGCCTAACTGACCCAGCCTGAAAGGAGGGCAACACTTGTTGCCCTGTCTGGACATGTCTGCGCCTGCCTGTACCCTCTCTGGTCAGGCCTGTACCAATGCAATAACCTAGGTGTGCCCCCTAGTGGAGCTTATACCCACTGTCCCTGGCGGACCTGCACCCTGTAACATAGGGGCCTCACCAGAGCCAGTGAGGAAGTGCCCTTTGCATTTACACCATGTACCCTGCAAGTAGGGGTCGAAGATACTCTATAGCCCCAGGCAACAATCAGTAAGATAGCAGGAAGGGGAAGAGAGTGTGTGAAATGATCATGGCCTGCCTAGATCCTGGGTAAGAATTGGTTGGAAGTGTGAGACTTAAATAAACTGACCACTTATAGAAAACCCACTAAATATCCCTTGCAATCTGGGCTGTTCGAAAGCCTTCTCTTGCCCCCTGCACCGAAGGAGTTTTCCAGAGATGAGCATCGGAAAACCATGTGACCTACAAGTTCTTTCAGTTGGCCCCATGACCTTGAAAAATCTTTTTTATACAATAAGGCTACTTTGACCTTTCCAAGACATCCATTTGCTGGCAGGCAATTCGTGTTTTTCATTACTTGTCAGAACTAACAAGCTCTGGGAACAAGACATATCCTTTTGTAGTGTGTGATTGATGTAACCATATATAGAACACTAAATTGTCTCTAATTGTCCTGCAAATGCCTGCAGGGCCATAAGAACATCTTCGTCAGGTTGACATGGAGCTTCATGCCTAATTGAGCTGTCAGCCGGTCAACCCCAACAACAATTAGAGTCAGCATTCTCTGCAGCATCTCCTTCAAAACTGAGAAAGTTACATGTAGTTTGTTCTGTTGGATGGCATTATACTGCTTATTAGAAGAACCTTGTAGATTGACCACTTTTTTGTTGGACACTAGGGTTGTTATTCCATCAACTGCTGTCTCATTTGGGTGTAGAAAAGTTTGAAATGATCCTACATCCTATATGTGATCAATTTTACTGATGAAAGGAAAGGCATCTGTCATATTTCTGCTGAGCACTGCACCCAACCGTGCTACATGTACATTTGATTGCCATTTTCATTTTCCTGTTATTAAAGGAAGAAAATTCGAAGACAGATCAATATCTTCAGCTCGAACCATTGGAATTTTGACTGTGACATCATAACAAAGAGGAAGAAATACTATTGAATTGTTTTCATATTAAACTAATTGTCTTTTACATTTAGAGTGGTTAAGGCAAACAGTGACGCATGTAAACATTGGATGAAATTTCTTGTCATATGTGGAGGCAGTGATTTTTGAAAGGTAATCCTTTTGTGGAATGTGACATGGAATAAGGTCCAAAGGCCCACTTCAGTCAGTTGGGGCCCGAGGACCACCTGGTGAGTGCAGGGCAAAGCTAGGTCAGTGACTGGAAAAGTAGGTGGGATTCTTTCATTGGTGCCCCCCCCATGGGGGGATATATTCTCCCACCCCCCCCCTGGATCTGTGTCCATGGATATGAAAATAATATTGAAGGTTTCAGGTTCAGTTGTAACTTGAAAGGTCAATTTAAACAACAGTTTTACCCTTTCTGATGAAATGTATAGTACTTCATCTTAGGGGTAGGGCCAAAAATACTTATGGCCCAATCGGAATAGGGTTTAAAAGGGCTGACTAAATAATGCCAGTCTTGGAACATAAATGCCCCCCCCCCCAATTAACCATCAATGTTTTAAGGGGGAACCCGCTTTTTACATTGTATTTATTTCTACAGTATCCGCATTTCAAATTACATGTACATATGCATAGACATGTTGTTAGCAATGTCATTTATAGATACTGGAGGGGTGCCCATTAGGAAGCAAAGCTTTTTAGCCTGAGCATTAATGGGATATACAAATACTTGTAAGACATCCAGTACATATACATATTACATATAAACACAACAAAAAACACAGCACAGACCAGCAGGCTTATCAAAACCACAAGAAATAAAGTAAGTTAAGCACTGGCATGGGGGGCATTCATGTTCCAAGACTGGCATTATTTAGTCAGCCCTTTTAAACCCTATTCAGATTGGGCCATAAGTATTTTTGGCCCTACCGCTAAGATATTGAAGATCAATTGCCTGATTGACATGAAATTTTGTATAGAAATACAACAGCTCATTAATAACATATCTATCTTATGTTTATTATTTTAAATTTGAATTGTGGTAAACTTTGTACATAAGCTGTTGCTTTAGTAATAATACATACATGAAGCTGTGCATGAAGATATACGATATTGCAAGGGGACATTTGCATGGATGAGTATTTCACTGCAACTTCAATGCTTTAAAAATTTCAGGCATTTTTTTTTTCAAGGCTGACACCAGCATCTTCGTGACCAATGACCCCATGGAAGCTTGCCATAATGCCAACATTGTTGTCACTGATACATGGATAAGTATGGGTCAGGAAGAAGAAAAGGCTGAGCGACTCAAAGCATTTAATGGTTATCAAGTCACGAAAAAGGTACACACACCATGTCTCAGATGAATTGTCTTTAATATTAGCTTCAGTATTAGATTAATGTATATGAATGGAATTTGATCGTAGAGGACTTATTTGAGAGATGTTGAGTAGTGACCCATGAGTTGATTGCTCTTTTTTCCCCAGATGACTGATGTAATGGATAAGGACTGGACCTTCCTTCATTGCCTACCTAGAAAACCAGAAGAAGTTGATGATGAAGTCTTCTATAGCAAAAACTCACTTATATGGCCAGAGGCTGAGAACAGGAAGTGGACCGTTATGGTAAGAAACAGAACATACGTGTACATAGTTTCAACCACTTCATGCCGGGGCATTTTTCAATGTTGATGATGCTGGGCTGGCATGACTATCATTTTTCGGTTTTCAAAATCTTTCAAAAATTCATCATTTCATTTAACGGTCGTTTATAGCCACACAAAGCAATCTTTAGGCACTACTCTAAGTTGACAGGTGGCCTTCATTGACGCCTGAGTATTTCAGCCAAGCCAGCAGCCTTGTAAACAGAGCCCAGATTGTGCGATGTTGTATAACTGTCTTTTGTTCACGAACCTGGCTCAGTGAACTGCTGACCTCTTTTCAATAGGGGCCAGATTAGCGTGAAGTGGTACTGTGTGGCTCATCCCTGTGGTGGTGGAGCGCTTTTGTCCCCGGTGGTAATCAGCTGGCTCTCAATGCCCCAAACCCCGGTGTACGGTTTCAAAACAAGGCTGGATAATCACCACTTTTGAGAGTGAAAAATGTCAGTAATGCCCAGCAGCCTGGTCTTTTGTTCGGAGTACGGTCTTTTGTTACAGGGCCCTGTTTCCTTTGTCCGAGTTCAGAGACCACGGCCACGCATATAAACCATAGGTCTCCGATTCCGGAGTCCCCGGCAGGTATTGGTTAAAGGTGGGTTACACCATTGATAAAATGGAAAAAGATATTCTTTTTGTTCCGGTTTTTTTTTTTTTGCTTCTTCCTCTTGTTCTTCTACGCAAAAATCCATTTGTTTTGTACACGTTTTTTGTCGCCGTGACTTTAGTGCTTTTGCAACTTTGGATTTTCATCAAATTATACCAATGAAGAACCTTTATGCGTAGATGGTCCTAGAAACACGATGTCATGATGACTTCATCAAGTAATTTATTTCGACCCATTGAGTTTGTACACTTTTTCGAGGCACTATTTTGGTAACTTAGCAATGTTTGATCGTCATCAAAATTACACAAAGCACTAACCATAAAGCAAAGTTAATACGTAGATAATTACGTAATGATGACGTCATCAAGTAATTTATTATTAAATTTTGAATATTTAAATATTCCATTAAATTTATAAAAATCCATATAAAGTCGACCCTGGCCTCCCGCAACATTCTGTTTGCAGCAAGTGTCATGATAAAATGTGGTCTTCAATTCATCTCGTTTGGTTCAAATCGTGTGACCCTTCCTTCCGGTCGAAACCGGAAGTGGTCTTGTTTAAAAGTGGTAATAGGTATGGAGTTGTTTTCAATGATGTTAGTCTGCTGGGGTATAGTATTTTTCAAATTATCTACTGATGACGTCACCTAATTGTTGAGCGCCCTCTAGCGACAGGTTAAAAATTACGAAAAATGAATTTTGAATGGATGTCTGTGGTGAAGTTTTTCCGTATCACCTGAAAATTGATATACCGAGTAGATGACTATCTTTATCCAGTCAATACGTGTGTGAAGTTTGGGACATTATCAGACCTGAAGTTACAATAAGAACTTCTTTTATTCTTCAAAATTCGGAAAAAAAATCAACCGTAAGTGATATAAGCATGAATTGCGTATGAGATCACAGCTGGAACATTGGAGTCAGCTGCATGAAGTGCATAACTGGTGTACTTTTTCAAACCCCTTAAGCGCCGCCGACAAAAATTCCCCTAAAATATAAATTGCAAACTCAAAAATCCCATTAGCATGCTGTGCATATGCTACTGTGTGTGGCCACCCAATATCTGCCTGCAACATAGACGGCGCACAGTTCATAGAGCATTATACTCGGAACTTGGCAAAATGCCGACCACATGCTGCCGAGATCAGATCGCATTGTATGGAATGCCAAAAGGGACAAATGTTTAAGATATCTAATCTGTGCCTTTTCCAGGATGAGTATAATGTTTTATATTGTATATTGTATTGTACATGTCTTATTGGGTTGAAACCTTGCAGGCAGTTAGGAAGGGAAGGTTTACAAACGGAAATTGACCTCAGGTGATGACAATACCATCAGCAGACAAGTCATGTGACATTAAAGTGTACCTCATTTAAAGTACTATATCTCCTGAAGTGTATATCAATTTGGTTCAAATCTTGCAGATATCTTGAAAAGGGAGTACTTTAGAGGAATTTGACCTCACGTGATCATGACTTTGTTAGGAGACAAGTAACATGACAATATAGGTGCACTCTTTAAGTCCCCGTATCTCCTGAAGTACACGTCTGATCGGGTTCAAATCTTGCAGATATCTTGAAAAGGAGGGTTTTAGAGGTATATTTACCTTATTATATTTACCCATTAAAGGAGCACTGTTTAAAGCCCAATATCTCCTGAAGTACATGTTCTATCAGGGTGAAACTTTGCAGATAACTTAAAAGAGAGGTGTTATATACGAAAAATGACTTGACGTGATGATGCTGTAGTTGTTCAAAATGTACATTGAAATCAAAAAATGATCTAATAAACCAAAATTTACCATGATCAATTGGTTCATCATCGCTATTGCATGGAGCAATACAGTTGAACAGAACTTTATTCACCATGTCTGGTCTACCCACTCGAAAGCACCTGCGCTGCATGCTGCGCTATGAACGAAATCAAGTTTGGATGGTGCCCACAATGTGATTCTGTTTTGCATGAGCAGGCCACCATGGATATCATTGCTAAGCTTTCTCATTGTCAAACTTTACGTTCGTTTTTTGTTGCTCCATGATGAACTGTCTGTTGTAGATATAATGATGAAATCACTCTATTAAATTTATGTACTACATGTATATTTGATATTATTTCCAGTCATTATAAACCAATAAAGCGCAGTGTAAAAGTAAAACTAAAACTGTGACTGTGTCGAACCTTTCGCCTTAACATTGAATGGACTAGGGGTAGTTAATTTTTTTCATGATCACCAGCTACATGTACTGTAGCTGTGTGTAGGCTAGGCCTACCTCGTTGTACGGGCCGGATCCGTGGCTGTCAGAAGACTTGTCACATCTTCATCTCTGCCCTGCTTGAATTCTTTATGCTGTATTAACTTCACAATCTTGTATTGTATTGATTACGATACATTGTATTTCGTGTCCAACCTGAATCAAGTCCTGGAAAATCAAACTTTTGACCAGGAGAATCCTGAAAGAGTCATAAAATAGAGCTCAGAGGCCATGAACATCATGTCTTTCATAATGGTAATGCTTGGTTATGAAGCTTAAAAACCAACATGTAACATAAGTTTTGAAATGCTGCCTAATTTCGAATATTAACTTAAAAGTTGGGAAATTTGTCTTTTGATGCATAGTACATGTATTTGCATACTACATTATTCTCAAAATGAAACATAATATGCTGTTACTGTTAGTCAGTACTCTTGATTCCAGCAAAATTATTTCTGATATTAGCAATATTGTTCACGACATTTATGCCCACTAACTGGTCATAAATCTTGTGCAAACTGCTGCTGAGATTGCACAAGAGAGCATCTAAAAATCCAGAGCTTCCAGGGCCGGCTACCCTGACCGTATAGGACTTCGCGCCAGGTTCATGGAAAATAGTTACTACTTCTGTTAATTTGGGGTCATTCTGAATTTTTGTACTTCCAAGTTGGCAGGTATGCTAGTAAACTATTCCAAGGCTACTACTAAGTACAAGTTGCAACTAAAGGCAACAACTTTTTCCATTGCAAACTTTTGCACAGTGACATGTTGTTGTTTAATTTGCAGGCAGTTCTGCTCTCAGTTTTGAGAGATCACGTCCACAAGACACCGAAGCCAATCTTCTAGAGCAAGGAATGGGAAAGTGTATCATTTTTATTTTATGTTATGCTGAAAGTAGCTGCAACGGCTATAACTATTGTAAATGTCTGTTTAAGAAAAAAAGAACAGGTATTCTGCCTTTCAGTTTATTTTACCATTTCACTTCACTGCTTACATAGAGTAAATGTATGTGAAGAAAATTCTGCCTGTGTCACTTTTGCTGAGCAGTCTAGTAAATTCAAGCACTCGTATGACCAGCAGATTGCCCAGGTCTGAAAGAAGCACCCTAGAAAGATCTGGAGCATTTTGGCAAAGGGAAAGGAATCATGTAAAATGGGAAAGCATATGTACACTTACATATGTACACTTACATATATTACTGAATGTCCTGGTGTAGCTATGGAGTTCCTGCAAGTTTTCATGATAGCCCTCCCATACTCTTGTCTCCTCTCCTTTCCCTTCAAAACTAGCCACAATTACCAAACTTGTGCCAATGAAACCTTCCTCCTACACCCTGTAGAAGTTTTTGTGTACAATGTTTAAACTTTTTCCTTGTCTAGAGCTACTGTATTAAGTCAAACATAAATGGAAATTCTCAGCAAAGTCTGAACCTAGTAATCCAACGAAACAGTTATGCAATGACATCAGTGTAGGACCAGTGTAACTTTAGAGGAACACAACAGTACAGGGGCCATTCAAATTTGCGGTTTTTAAATTCACTTTTTTTCTGGAGAGGAATCTAAGTCACAGAAATATTTCTGAAGTTTTTTTATAATTTCATGTTTTCAGTTTGTCCAAGTGAGGAATGCATTCTGTAGTTGGTGGGGTCACTGGGGCCTGGTCAGTCCGTGTCGTTCTTGCTATTTTTAGCAGCAAGAACCAGTGCAACATGCATGCTTCCCCTCATATGCTACCACCAAGCTGCATGCGCGCATGATGTAAGTTGATTCATGTTTGGGGGAAACCTGTGGAGTTTACAAATTACTTTAAAAACAAAGCAGTGAAGGTATTCTTGCCACAAATATAATGCACTGTGTCAAGTTTGTGAATATGATTTTTCAAGCGATTTAACCTCGGTACTTTACAAATCATATTATTTTAGAAGCTTATTGCCAAATTCTTTTTAACTGAACTATTAAGGTACAAGTTGCTAAAAGTAATCATTTTGTGTTCCTTCAGTTAATCGTTTGGGAAAAATTGTAGTTTGGGTTCAAACCAATCTGGAAAGGTTTTATGCATCACTTTGGGTAACTCACAGTTAGATGTGTAGTACTACTGTTACGCTGTCTATTTTTACCTGGGTCATCAACTGTATATGATTAGCAGTGCTTGTTACTGTGTGTATGAAGTATATAGAACTTCAGCAAGAGTTTCAAGAGTTAATAATCAAGTAAAAGGTTTGCAGTTGCACCATGCAAAGATATATTTTATGGATCTGCTCTACCCTTGGCAATTCAGAATATGCATGTATTGTGTGTTCTTTATCACTGGTGTTAAAGGGATAGCTGCAATCAATTTTTTTTTAAATACAAACCTCCAAAATGCACCTTTTTGTCTCAGTTAACTTTATTTTCAACTTTTGTTTCACTATTTCAAAGGGTATTTTACTGCTGTTTCGGTTTTTATGCTAATAAGTATACATTTTCCATATTCATGAGCAAAACTGTGATGACATCTTATTTCGAGCCTCAATGTCACATTGGTTTGTACACAAACAAATCATGCATTTTTGTAACTTTTTCTGGACTCACTTTCCTCTGCTGATTATTTTTTTATTTTATTTATTTACATGTATTCCATTTCTGTACACACGATATGCCCAAACAGTTAAAAACTGGTATCCTTTGGGGCCCTGCATACTATAAACAATTAAGTAATGGTAAACTCAAATCATTAAATTATTACTTTGTTGGAACATACAATGAAAACAAACAAAATAACTTAATTTCAATATATATGTACGTCACAGAATAAGCAAATGAACAGGGCACTAGTAAAATGAAATAAATTCACTCACTTTTTACATCGTAAAACACATATTGAGATGCTAATTATATTATCAAAATTGTATTAACTAGCTTTGTGTCTAATTTTCACAGTTTTGCCGAGTTTACCTTCAAATAACTTTGATCTCACATGGAATACTAGTAACTCTTATGTACAAAAAAGGTTATTACTTCTATGAAGGAAAATGTTTTTGAAATTCACCTTGTTTTTCATAGGGACCCATTTTCGTCATTTTCCGTGTTTTTTCACCTTACTTTGTGCCCAATTTTCACACTTTTGTCAAATCCCCTTCAGATCATCAATGATACTGTCTGGAAGACTGATAATTTTTGTATCAATCAGTTAATTTTTTTTTCAAGATTGAGAGCCATTTGTCTGAGATGCAGTTCGTTTTTCATGCAGATTCAAATTTCCGCACTGAGTTTGGCAGCGGTCAAAAATGAGATTTTTGGCATGGTGCGCTTGTAGGTACACGGACCTGGATACGAGTGCATTTGGGTTCGAGTTCGCCTACTGCATTGCACGAATACGTACACGTACAGTACAATCACGTCAAATTGCCTGAAAACCATGCACAAAAGAAAAACTTTCCGTTTTCATCCATGCGGTTTCCTTCTTGCATGATACTTTCTCATGAGAACATTCATGATATTTCTCACTATTCACAAGTAGAGATATGGCAGGGAAAACTCGGCAAAACTGAAAAAAATCCCCTCTAAAATGTTGCCTTCACTTCCAACTTCTGACTCTGGTACTTCGGAGGTACGTAAGAAAGACGGGCAAAAATTTGGCAGAAAAGGGATTTTCATTGTGTGCAAGTTATCAAAAGGGACTTTGAGTGTTGAAATACTAATCAGTATGGAAATAAAAGGTAAACAACTTTTTCTGAGCTTGATGTTGATCGATTACTTTTGGGGTCCACCTGTCCGAATCAAGAGCCATTTTACAGGCTTCTGGCTACAGTGGGATTTAGTCCACGTGCGCACAAACTAAGTGAGGGGCATGGACATGCATGTCATAACTCCAAAACATTTACAATTCATTTCCTGGACAGTAAGACTATCGGCAATGTAAACATTCAGGTGTGCCTTAGAGACGTTTTGCTTTGTACCGATAAGCATGCATTTGGTTTTGTTGGCATTTAGTTCAAGTTTATTTTTTATGCACCGAGCTTTTGATTTTGTCAAAACTTGATGCATTAAGATTCCTTTCTATTTCATTAATACTGATACATTGCCTTTGATATTTTCTGACTGGCTGCAACTACTCAGGTATAATTTAAACCAACTGATTAAGAAAATCGACATTTTTAGCCCCTTAAGTATGTCCCGGAGAATTTTATGGTTAACATGATCCAATGCTTCTCTAATATCTATAAATACACTACCTGTAACTTCTGTGTTCTCCATAGTCTAGAAACACCTATTCGTTAAATCGTGCAGGGTACTATCACTTGAGTGCAGGGGTCTGTATCCGGATTGGCAACTTGGTATCAGATTATTTTCACCAAGGTATGCATTTACTTTTGAGTGTACCCATCTCTCCAAAATGTTAGACAATTGGCAGTAAAGAGTTGGGTCGTTAATTACTTGTATTGCATTTGTCTCCTCTGTGGATTGGTGTGACTGAGGTATGTTTGCAGTCTTTTGGATGTCATGCACATTCTATTTTAATCATTTAAACACTTACTCCATCCGGGCCCATTGCTTTCCCGACTGACACTGATGATATTTGCTTTTTGACAAAGTCTTACGTGATTTTATGCACTATGCATTCATTATCAAAAGAATCATCAATAGGACCAGTGTCTGTTTGGGGTACGCATGAAGTACTATTACCAACTATACGTTTCGGATTGTAGAAAAGTATTCGTTCAATGTATCAGCGATGGCAGTGAGATTATTAATATTTTCCCAATCAGGGAAAAGAAGAGTTTGGAAGACTATTTTGTTTCTTTAGAAGATCCTCGAGCTTTTTCCTTAGCATAGATGAATTGTTTTTTTCTTTTTGCGTACTTTGTCAGTTACAGTGTTTCACAGCTTTTTATAGCAATCCCAGTCAATTTGCGATCCTGAACGTTTAGCAATTTTGTGTACGCGATCTTTTCACATTAGGTGGAAAATTTCACCAAGCTATTGTAAAGAGGTACCTGTCATACATTAAGTTTTAAATTCAGGACGTGGTGCCATGGTGCATTAATGAGGTCTTCCGCTAGAGCATCAGTGTCTGTATCTTTGAAACTTGGAAAGTTAATTGAAGGGCTTTTTATTTTAGGTGTTTTCCATCTGTGTAGACCATAAACTAGATAGTGGTATCTTATTAGGGCTGGTAAGACACCACTATCTTTTATAAGCTCTGAATGGGAGCCGAAAATTAGATTGTAGTTTGACTGGATTTGGTGTTGGGTCATGTATAAGTTGCGTCATTTGAAATGAATTAAAACATGAAGTGACTGAATCTGTACTAATACATTCATCATTTGTTAAAATGACCAGTTACAATAATAACAGTGGTCGATAACCAAAGCAAATAAAATCAAGTCCACATATTCTTCTGTAAGTTTATTAGTTTATTGTGCAACAATTATACACCTCACATTGATAATTTACAAAAGACAAGTCACAAGTAGAAAAACTTCATTATACACATCTGACCCTACCCAAGAGTCAATTTGTAAAATCGAAAAAATCGAGATACATGTGCACCGCTCGGTTAATTACAGTTTGCACAAATTTATGTAACTCTCCAGTAATATTGTTTACGCCACTTATTGTATAGAATCAAATTCAGTTAGCTATCAACAAGTTTTGTTTAAGTAATTCAATGCGATAACTTTTATCCAAATTTAAATTCAATTCCAGGTGCACCCTTATTTTATCCACAACAAAAATAATTTCACACGAATTATAACTTACATAATGCACTAAGGAAGGCTTTATACGATGAATTTAACTGACTTCTTGGTGGCTTTTATCAATGGGGCTGTATAAATTCTGTGGGTCAATCGTTCAGTCTCTACTTGACTCCACCTTAAATGGCCTTCCCTCCACCTCCATACGTCTACACGTGTTAAGTCTTGACTCGGAACAGAACATCAGGCCATGCCAGCCATCAAGACTCAAGAAAGACCACCAAGACCAGAGTACATCAAAAGTCACCAAGGACCGTCTGTGAATTCATCATGTTCAGTAAATTCTCAGAATATTAAGCCCTAAGAGGTAAATATGCAAATTCGCTCTACTTTCAGACTTTTATATGACCAGTCAGTACTAAAGTGAAACATTAATGTTTCTTCCATACACTCTTTCATATAGCACTTACATTGCTACACCTTTCCATCTTGGAACTCTCCAAATCAATTGACACAATTTTAGATCAACATTTAGATAGAGCCATCAGCTCAATTATTCAAAATGTTCACCAGTTCGTTACTTCAATTAATTCAAACTCCTGATTCCATCCTTATTCCTGGTGCATCACAATAGTAAATTTGGTAAGGAAAACAATATTTCTGTCATTTTACAGAAAAATATTGAAATTCTTTAACTTACGGTTGCTGGTCGATGTTGTTGACTTGTCTCCATCAGTCGTGCCAAATAAAGATACAAATTGAGTCAAAATCTGCTCAAAACACAATCCGAAAATAGCTGCAATTCGTCCAAGTCAGGTTGACTCAGAAGATCTCTCTTTAGGCCTGTAACTTGCCCAAAAGTCAAACAAAATCGCTGCAGCAGAGCACGTTGATAGCACATCCATTCACTCAGACAACTGCCCTGACTCTATTTTCAAACTAAACAACCTGCAACTAATTTACACCTCTTTGGCTCATGCGTAAGTGCCTTCTTTCTCGGTATAGCCAAATACATCATTAGCTAAATTATTTTGCGATTCGATTCGTGGAATTTGTGAAATCTGCGTTGGAAAATTTATATTTGTGAAATTTAGGCCATCGACTGTCGTGTAAGTCGATGGGCGCTCGTTATTTATTTTGTATTTTGGATTTGTTTCTAACTGACGTTTGACATTGTCCGAATATAATTTTAAAGCCACTCGCAATGCCCGGCGAATGCATTCTTGATCTTCTTTATTTTGAACGTTGATGATTGCTTTCTTATCAACCAAATATTTCGGAAGTGGAATATAAGTTGCACCGACTGGATTATATTTCACCTCGTTGATATAAAATGCGTCCACTTTATCAAACACCCAGTCCGAACCGCGCTGCTCGTGAGCTTCCACGTCTTCTAGATGTTGCGCGATTTGCTGATTCAACGCTTCTTTAATTTTAAACTGAATCTTGATGGCCGTTTGTAATTTGTACGAGCCAATTTCCTTAAACTCGGCAAGTGCTTTGTCTTCGATATACTTTCTGTAAAAATCAAAAAAATGAATTAGGTCGTCGGCAGAGAAATTTGGCATCAATTTCTGTAATTGTCCCTGAAGCGTCTAATTCTACGGATGTCTTCTCCTTCAATCGCCTGTGGCTTAATGTACGCTTTAATAGCGGTAATCAGGTCCGTTTGCAGTATTTTTCCTTTTACGCCCGTAAATTCTATGTTGTTGTCTTGAGCTATTTTTAAAGGCTGGTGGTATGATTTCCGTGTGAGATTTTTTAAATTGTCGTTGACTCTCTTGAACCGCTTTTATGAGCTCCGACTTTGTGTGTTGTTTGCAATGTGGCGCCGGTAACTAATGGAATGTTCAAGATGTATTTTTGCGTTGGGGAGATGTCAATTATATATAACAGGTTTTGCCCTTACCCAACGTATATTATTAAGCACTGTATGCTCAGTGCTTGTCCGAGAGCTCGTGAAAAAAACCTCANGGGTACCGCGAACTGTTTTCAAGATATATTTTTGCGTTGGGGAGATGTCAATTATATATAACAGGTTTTGCCCTTACCCAACGTATATCAATAAGCATTGAGTGCTCAGTGCTTGTCCGAGAGCTCGTGAAAAAAACCTCATAAGCTTACTCGGGTGGGACTCGAACCCACGACCTCCTGCTTACGAGTGGTTAAGACATCTGCACAAGTAAGCAGGAGGTCGTGGGTTCGAATCCCACCCGAGTAAGCTTATGAGGTTTTTTTCACGAGCTCTCGGACAAGCACTGAGCATACAGTGCTTATTAATATACGTTGTGTAAGGGCAAAACCTGTTACATATATTGGAATGTTATACTGTTCAACAAAGTCAACAATAAAGATTTTTTTCAATCGCCTAAAGTCCGAATGGGAACCCCAAACTGGCATTTGGATGGATTGGTAATGATGCCGTACTCTGAAAGTCTGGTGAAGAGCAGACGAAGGTGCGTAAGGTGATCTTCATCTGTTTCACTTGCAACAAGAATGTCATCGATATACGTGTAGACGAAGGGCAAATTGTGCGTAACCATGTCGATGAATCGTCTGCGCTGCGTTGGGTAGACCAAATGGCATACAGCGGAAGTGGAAAAGGCCAAAAGGAGTTGTGATGGCAGTTTTGTGGATGTCCGTAGGATGCACAGGAATTTGGTGATAAGCGCGTACCAAGTCTATCTTTGAGAACACACGATTACCTTCCACAAGTTGGCGGTGAAGTCATTTAAATGGGGAATTGGTTAGCGATCAGGAACTGTCACTCTGGTGAGGGCACGATGGTAATCATACGGCCTCCAATCGCCAGAGGTCTTAGGAACCATATGCAATGGTGATGGCCAAGCACTTCAATAATGCCGAGGTCAAGCATGTGATTGAACTCATCTTTGGCGGCATTGAGTTTGTCGGGAGCAAGGCAACGTGGGTGGGATGAAACTGGGGGCCCGTTGGTGACGATGTGGTGGGTTATTGAATGTTTCATTTCCCTGTTTCACTTCAGGGAAATGACTGGTGAGTGTCTCGTAGAGAGATGCCCTCGGCGTAACAATGGCCGGGCCAATGGGCGTGGTGTTCGACTGAATTCCTGCTACAGTGAGGCTTGTGGTTGTGTCATAGAGTTTGCGGCGTTGAACATCGACAAGCAGTCCAAAGTGTTGGAGAAAATCTGCTCCAATTATTGGGTGAGGAAGGTCAGCAATGATGAAAACCCAGCGAAATACCCGACGCAAACCGATATCTATTGTAATTGACTTCTCACCATGTGTGTTGATGGGAGATTTATTTACCGCCTGAAGATTAGCTGATGAAGACTGAGGCCGGCATTTATGCTTGGCCTAGGGGGCACAACACTCACTTTGGCTCCTGTATCCACAAGAAACCGAACCCCAGTCTTTCGATCGCTGACAAAGAATAGGCGACTTTTGGTATTGGTGCCGGGGGACTTGTCGCCTTTAGTCGCTGGCATCGGAGTTTCCCTGCTGCTGATCTTGACGGGGTTTGTAGCTGCATGGGGAAACACATCGCTTTGCATCGGTGCCGTAACGCCAATGGTACCGGCAATCTTTGCCGGCATGTGATGGGCTGCGACCACGAGAGGACGAGCGAGGTCTGGATGGAGTTGAGTCCCGTGTCCTTCGCCTGCCTCGTTGTTGGCTCATGAGTTGGCTTGTGAGAGCATTTACCTGTTGTGTTAGCTCATCAACTTTGGCTTGTAGGGCTTGCGTTTGTAGTGATGGCTGACCGCTTGGTGGCACTGCAGGTGACACTGCGCTAACAGTGTGAGTTCGATGGGGGATGGACACTTCTATTATTTTGTCTGCCAGTTCGGCCAGCTGCTGAATGGGCGTCATCTGCGATGTTGATGCCAAGATGAATTGAGCGTTTGCTGGCAGTCGTTGAAGGAAGAGTTGCTTCAGGATTTTCTCCTCCAGCGTGTTTTCTCCAAGCAGCTGTTTCATTCGACGCCACAGTTGAGTTGGCTTGCGGTCTCCCAGCTCCTCGGCGATGAGGAGTTGATGCAGTCTCTTTTGCTCAGATATGGAAGTCCGGCGAATAACCTCCGCCTTGAGGTGGTCATAGCGGTCTTGGTCGGGAGGTGCAATCAGTATATCGCGCACCTCTCGTGCCTCTTCGGGCGGCAGCAACCCAATAACATACGCGAACTTCGTGTCCTGCATAATTATCTTTCTCGTGGGGAATTGCGCCTCCACTTGTGCGAACCATTGGGCCAAAATGGCGATAGTTTCATGTTCACTGCAGATACAGGCAACGGGGCCGTTGGTTGAGAGGTTGAAGGTGAACCTCCCATCTCTGGAATTGAGATCACCGGTAGTATCAAGCATGATCGCAACGACGTTGATACTGATAACGCTGGACGATCACGTCTGGGTCACCAGTTTAGAGGACTCAGCTCAGTTCTACTTGGCTGACTTACTACAATTTATTTCGATATGCAAAGGAAAATACGGATGTGCACACTACGATGTCTATACTAAGAGTGGCTAGTCAAAGGAGGGTGTCCAATATTTGAAAGGTTACTGTGAGGGCAATAAGTTACAATATATATTAGATCAAGGAACTGAAGAAATATTTACGATAATGAGTTGGGCCTCTTGAAATTAGAGTGACCTCTGTAAGAGACAGTTAATGGGGTTTATGACTTTGACCTGAACTTGTGACCTGTTTACTGGTCATGGTCAGGTGATGGTACATGTACATACATCTACTGTGCACTACACACTTTAACGATGCCGTCAAAACTTTTAAAATGGAGACGCATACTTTTTACTTGATCGAAAGTGAGCAGACGTTTAAATTTAGAAAATCAAATCAATAATCTTAAGGGCAATAAAAAGATCAAAGTCAGAAAAGTAAGCTTTCACCCGGGATATTTCAACATTACAAAATCCACCGAAATTGAATGGCAAACTCAAGTCGAAGGAAGTCCGGCTGAAAGGGGAGCCGAAGGAGTTAGATCAAAGTGAGCGGCTGTCTCACCAACACCAGATGCAACAATCAACAAGGATGTTGTAGAATCACTTGAACTAACAGTGCCGTTCTCAGAATTAGACACAGATACTCTGGTTTTGCTTTATGACGTAATAAGAGATTATATTCGGGCTGACGAGGCTGGGAATTTAGCAGAATTTAACGACAGAGTTAATCAAAATATAAGTGACCTCGACAATCAAATAAAAACGTTAACAAATCAACGTTCAAGATTAGGAGCATCAGATAAAGAGAAAAAATTACGCAAGTTTATCTAATACTTTTATCCCAAGGCTAAGTTGATATCTATCAAAAAGCCCGTCACATCGCTTTAGAATTTATTCAAGAGGGATTTTTAGGCGACGACAACGAAGAAAGAACGAGAACCGTCAGACCGGCTCAAACCGCAACCAGACCCATTCTTTTAGTTACGGCTTCTGGTTGTGGTTTTTTAAACGCGTATAAAATAAAATGGAGACGCAATCTTTTTATTTTTTGCCGTTTAAATTGAAACACGAGATCAATAACACAAAAGGTGACAAAGTCGTTAGAGTGAAAAATATACAGTTTGAAGCCGAGTATTTCAACATTACAAAATCTACCGAAATCGAGTGGGAGACAAGCTTAGACGCTAGGGCTGCTTCATTCCTTGGTTTAGAATTCCTACTTAGAAATAGTTAGAGCTACCAAAGAGAAATCCTTACGTGCACCTGAAAGAGGTGTTTTGGCAGAAAAAAATTATGTTTGTTGTTCTTGAAATGGAGAAGCTTGAAACAACAGATTCATTTTATAGCCACACAACCAAATGAAGAGCAGACTATAAGTGAATGAAAAGAAGGTGTCTAATTTGTTAAACCTACCCAAAGTCAAACTTTTACCCAACGTCATTTATGAAGACGAGTATGATTTAAACCCCTTGGAATTTGTGTTTATTCGTTGTAAACAGTGGAATATAAACACCAACTTTTATAACGGGCAATCTTCGGACTTGTTGGACGTGATACCTTGGCTACTGCACCCGGCAATGAAACGCCTAAAAGTTAATAGACAAAAACATTGACGAGTTGACCTTTTCGTTAAAAAAAAACGAGCGAGGTCAACTGGTAAGCAACAAAGGGATGAAAGTTTACTTGAGCTAGACATTTTTAAAAACGCGTATATAATCAAAAAGAAATGGCAACAAACGTTCAACCAAAGATATACCCTACGTTAGAATTACTAGACAGACCGTCAAAAGCCACTGAAGCGACAGAAACTAAAACCTACCGTCTTCAAAAAACTGAAGACATCGCGGCCAGATTTTACGGGAGGGCGACGCCAGAGAAACTTCTTACAAAGAGATCAAACGGTTATTAACTGCGCACAATTACGTGGAATACGGCGTAGAAGCAATAGGATCTATGTCAGCCGCTATAGGAATCCCTGCTATTTTGGCAGTTATTACCGGACCCATTGGACTTGTGATGGACGGTCTCGCCATCGGTGCATTTGGAGCTTGCGCCATGTTAAAGTATGCCTCCCGCAGATTGTCTCACAAAAACAAAAAATACGATCAATCCGCGTGCCTGCAGCTGCCAAGCTAAACACCATCGATCGAAGATGGTGATATTTCCCAAGAAGAATTTGTCTTGATTTTGTCTGAATTGAAAAAGTTTAACGAAATGAAAGAAAAGATTAGGTCACACACGACGACCAAGATGCAAGAAGCTAAAACGATGGACAAAGCCGAATTTGACCGTCAAGTGCAAACCAAAGCTGAGACCCTAACCAACGAAAGGCGGCAGTTTTAAAGGAAGACCTTATGAAAAACTTGGCGAATAACTTTGTACAAGTCTGCCAGGTTTTTGGAAGATCAACCACCCGCTTTAATACCAAAATATCATGAAAGAAGTAGAACCCACAGCGCCTTCTTTTTAAAATCAGTTTATTTTTGAATCATTTTCTTTTTAAATCAGTTTATTATAAAGTAAAAAGTAAAAGATGGAAGACAATTTCACTCAATTATCAATTGTAGTCAATAAAGATAACTGGTTTTCAGCCGTGTTACCAAATTAAACTTCAAGGAATAAACTAAGTCTGTGCTTTCGTCTGTACAGACGGAGGAAGCCGTCAACCCTTGGACAACCGACCCGATATCATTTTACCAAAATCAGTTTAATTTCGCGGTCTGTTGTGCAACGACGGCATGCGGGTAGGTTTCGACCTTTTATAGGATTTGAACCCATACGTCTGCTTTATTTACTGTCCACATGTATTACACGGTGAGAAAGATCTTTTACAACTGCGCGATGCCTGTCCTGAGCGACGACATCTTCAACGCGTTGCACAACAATTACGACCATCGGAAGTTCACAGACATTTGCCAACTGTTTAAAGTCGATCCGAGTAAATCTTACAAAAAAAATCGCGACAATCAAACAGATTGGGTGCAGCTTTTTATAAAGCGGGCAAAGCCGGTGCTTTTGTGTTAAGTATAGATGAAATTGCAGCTTGTAGAAAATATGCGGCAAGCTCTGTTGAATCGCAATCTAACGAAAAGGAACGAAAAATAGAGCAAAGTACAGGACAAAGTTAGTCCCGGGTTGTTTAATTTTTAGTAGTCGATTACTAAGCATGGCGTAACCCATGGAAATTGCTGAAACCACTGCGCCGTGGTAGATCGTGTTGGTGATCCCGTTTATGTTGATGTTTGCGTTACTCATTCTAATTATACACCGTTTGTTTTTAAAACTACTCATTGTCTAGGATTTCTTAGTCTGTGGATGCTTGAGAGGTTGCTGTGGCTCGGACCGGTTGTAAGTTGCTTGAGCAGCAAGATTCTTTTTCAGAAACAAAAATATCGCGATTCCTCCGACTACCAAACCACTCAAAATCAAGTTCCTATTTTCGGTGTAAAGGTTCTCCAAGTTGAACTTACTTCCCCACTTTACCTCGGGTTCGGAATCTGCGATTTTCATTTTCGCGAGCTGTTGTTTCATCTTCTTATGTTCTGCCAGGCGTTTACCTTGTTCGACTCGTTTAGGATTTTTACTCTTGATGACCGTTTGCTTTTGGCTCTTGGCGGACTGTTGGCAGGAGCCGATGCTTGAGCAGTAGGCTTCTCTTCCGTTTCCATCTTCTTTTGTTCTCCCGTTTCCATCTTCTTTTTTATTAGACTGATTTTTGTTAATGGCCGAATGTTTGGTCATTATTAAGGTTGCTACTAAAGGCGATAGGTACAACCCGTACTTGTAACACAGCTCACTAAAAAATGCCCCGTTGTTTAACTAATGATGGGGTCGTTGTTTAAATCTGTAGTCAGATCTTTTTCAGAGTTCAAATCCACGTTGAAACCCAAAAAATCTATAGGAGTAGCTATTCCTTAAAGTCTAGCGTACAAGCCCAAAATGGAGTTGCCCAGAGTTTTAACGATTTCTTTGCTGAATTTTACCTCGTACAAGTTTTTCCTGTTCTGCCGGGGTAAGTGACTTGATCTCTTTTACAGAGTACTCTTTGCCTGGATATTTTTTGGAATCGCCCGATGCTACTACTGAACAGAGTCTGTTTTTGACGTTTGGTTTAGGTTCTGTGGTTTGTGCGGTTTCTGTTTTAACTTTTGAAGCGCTGAGGATGCTTTTAATATCGTCCATTCTAATATATACGTTTTAAAGTTGTTAAACGTTTGCTTGACGCGTAAGTACTCGTAGGTGTAATAGGTCAGGTTAACTGCAATAACTAGCACGATAGGTACTTGAATGTATTGTAACATGTCTTTAAATTACCTAAAACAAAATATAAAAATTGGTGCAACCAGACTATAACAGCCCAGTTACACCAAATTTAAACAAACCTTTAGCAAACGACAAGTAAGTTATTTTGGCTCATCAGTTGATTTAAATTTGTTTTCAACCAGCTTATCAGACTTCTTTTTACTATTATAACTGTAGCAGCAAAGCACACAGTTTGGTTTAATATGACCTAAAGAATTGTCTGGTAGTTGCTCAATGGTGCACAAGTCTGATTTTTTCTCCAAAAGCTGCATTTTAACTTTACAGTCTTCATAAAAGCAGTGTTCGTAATCTTCAGTTAAACCACGGCAAAAATTCGTGTCTATGAAATGGTCAGGATCGAATCTGTTGTACTTCTTGTCGTTTCGGCGACAGCTGTAGATCCAATCGCGAATTCTAATTTCAATGAGATCATTGCAAAGTTTAAATGTATTTCTTCGTTTCATATGCTTACGAATTCCTGCGCCACCGTACTCAATACATCGATGCTTCTGCCGGCCATGAGGACACTTATTATTTATTAAGTACTCCCTCGTCCCATCAATACATTGGTTACAACCGAGATTTATGTCATCAGTTGATCTAAC